GATAACGCCCTAAACATACTCCACCCCCCCCCCCCCCTCTCTCTCTCTCTCTTTCTTTCTCCTCATCCATTCTACCTCACCTTCTCTTGTCTTTATCGCACTAAATCACCCCCCTCTTTTAGGCTATGGTGCGCAAGCTCACGTTAACGCCGAGACCATAGGTCGGTGTTGTGGGCTTGCCTCACCAGCACAGGCTTGCTTTGCAGCCCCTACTCTCCCTGCTGTTTTGTCATTGTATACTCTGTTGTCTTCTCCCCTTCTGACGAGTAGGTTGTGTACTTAGTAAAAAAAAAAAAAAAAAAAAAATACTCGCAGTCACTGAGACCTGGCTGGATTCCAGTGTATCGGATGAGGAATTAGCAATTATAGGTTTTACATTATTTCGATGTGATCGACCTTGCAAGGTCCGATGTTCTTGTACAAGTGGCCAACCGTGTCAGAAAAGAGGAGGAGTTGCCTTTTACAGCCGCTCTGACTTAAACTTCTGCAAAGCAAGTATCCTGGTCCATGGAATGGAGATGATTTGGCTGCGCTCTACAGCAAAGATAACTGGGAGAGCATTTCTTCTTGGCTGTTTGTATCGTCCTCCTTCAGCCGATGCTAAATTTTGGAGCTGTGTTCAGGAGCTTGTCCACCACATCCAGGGCGAGGATATTATCTTGCTAGGCGACCTGAACATTGATTCATACCAGACCAATAGGCCAATGTATCAAAGCTTACACTCGTCGCTACTTCTTCCCCTTAACCTCCTGAACAAAGTTTGTTCTGTGACACGGACCACCCCCTCATCTGCTTCGTCAATTGACTATATCCTCACAAATCTGGCTGCAGTCAGAGACGGAGTAGTGTCTCCCAGCGAGTTCTCCGATCATGACCTGGTATATGCAGCATTGGATGTAAAGTCCAATACACAACTGCCTGCTTACGATGTTACCTTGAAGACCCGCGACTATAGGAACATCAACTTCCCAGAGTTAATAGGTCTGCTTGAGCATGCAAACTTGTCTTCGTTCTCGTCTACAAACGTCGATGAAATGCTCGACGAATGGTTGGGTAAATTCAACACTGCTCTAGATGTGGTAGCGCCGTACAAACAGCCTGGTAGATGCACAAGACCGCGCAAGAAGAACTGCCCGTTCATGACCCCAGAGCTCTTGGCACTCATCCGCCAGAGGAAATCAGCTTTTCGTCGATATCGCGCCAGTGGCTGCATTGACACTACATTACAGCGATGTTTTACCTCTCTGAGAACTCGGTGCAACAATCTCTACTGTCGACTTAGAAATTCCAATTTCCAGAACGTGTGCCTAAAATATAAACAGAGCCCAAAGCTGTTGTGGTCCACTCTCAACCACATAACTAATCGATGTCGTTCCCACATCCCTCCTGCGGTTGCAGCTGACGAGTTGAACACCTTCTTCCATAAGATAGTGACTGATCCAAACCCCAGGTACGACATCCCAGATGGACCCCCGCCTCAATCTGCATTTGGTATGTTTAAGCAAGTCACTGTAACAGACGTCAGGGCAAGACTTGCCTCCCTCGACAGCAGCAAAGCACCAGGACCCGATTGTCTTCTTCCCAGTATCCTGAAGGCCACATCCAATGTTATTGCACCTTCTATATCAGCCATCTTCAATCCTTCTCTTCAATCTTCGACTTTCCCTCATCTTTTCAAAATCGCTAATATCACCCCCATTCTTAAATCCCGGCAGGGTGATCACACTTCTCCGTCCAACTATCGCCCAGTGTCGCTTACGAGCATTCTCAGCAAAATGCTCGAACGTCTTGCCCTTGACCAACTGGTGCGGGACTTCGACCTGTATACTTGTCTACACGATCATCAATTTGGCTTCCGGCCCCAGCGATCAACAGTGCAGGTCATGACCTTGGCAGTAAATGACTGGACGTTGGTTAGAGATGTGGGTCATACAACCGTTGTAGCATTTATTGACTTAAGCAAGGCCTTTGATCGAGTTGTGCACCAGGAACTTATCTTTACTTTGCACAGCTTAGGCATTCATAGTTCTGCCCTGAAATGGTTCGCTTCCTACCTGAACGGCCGGCACCAGCGTGTATGTATAGCCTCTGGAACATCATCTCTTCTCCCTGTAACCCGAGGGGTTCCGCAGGGAACAATCTTAGGTCCCACCCTTTTTAACCTATATGTGCGACTCTTACCTGACCTGGCTGCAGGGAGCGGTGCAAAGCTCCTCATGTTTGCCGATGACAAGACTTTGTACGCTTCCTCACGAGATCCAATAGTATGCGCCGATGTCGTGTCCTCGGCTCTCGCTAAGATACACAATGAACTAAGATCACTGGGCATGAGCGTTAATGTTGACAAAACCGTGGTCATGAGGATCTTGCCGAAGAATGCTCCTGACGTACAAAGACCCGTTCTTGTTGAGCTGGGCGGCACTACCTTAAGGGAAGTGAGTGTAATTCGCTGCCTTGGTATCCTTATCGATAACAAGCTCTCATTTGCTCCACACGTAGATCACCTCACCAGCAAGGTGTCACGCAAGATAGGCGCGTTGCGACGCACCTTGCGCCAAATGGCAGCATTTGCCCTGTTCGATTTAGTGTGTTCGAATTTGTGCATCATGTTTCTGCCTTGTATTAGTGCAGTAGTGCATTTGTAGTTTACTTATTTGTTGCTATTTTGTGCACTGTCTCAGTGGCTGGTTCTTTGTATCATAAGCATGAGTGCGCGTCTGCCGCTAGGCTAGTTGTCTGTTTCATGAATGCACTTGCGGTCGTTGTTGGCTGATCACTACACCATTGTCTCACATGTATCATCGTTCTAGCTGCGTGCTCCCGTACCTGTGCGTACGGTGTTCTTTTGGTTCTATATTCGTGATTTGCATTTTTTGTTTTGGTTCAGATGTGTTTACGATGTTTTCAGATGAGTTTGGAAACGGTTGTGTTGAACTCTAAGCTGGTGTTTTTGAGCTAGTGCTTGTTGTCCGAAGATGGAATATTGAATACAGTCTGATTGGAGAAGTCATTGATTTGTTCAGTAACATATGGTCCTTCGAGCCGGATTGACATGGCTGCGCCAAGAAGAAGTTCGCGATCCAACCAAGGTGTCTTGCCTGTACGGTTTCAGGACGAGGGAAATGAACCCGCAAGTCGTCTGAGCCCAGGAAGCCTGTCGGACGTGGACTCCGTGTCTGAAAGCAGTGTGTCAACCAGAGCCAGTGTTGTTGGCAGTAGTATCAGCTCGTCTGCGTCGTCGTTGCGACGAGCAAGTGTTGTACAGGCAGAGCTGAGAATGGCTCGCATGGAGCGAGCCTTCTTGGAGCAAAAAATGGAGCAAGAGAGAAGGATATTTCGTCTGGAAATGGAGGCTGCGCAGGTCTCTCTCTCATCGACATCGCGGTCGAGCTCACCAGTCGATGAAAGTTCGGGATTGACATTCAAAACATGTGTCACCGGGCTTCCCAAGCAACCTCAAGCTCCGCTGGATAGTGCAGCTATGGCAGCTGTTGAACTACAGGGGAGTGATGTGCTAGTAGAGCAGCACGTAGAGGAAGAAGTGCTTGTCGTTGAAGAACATGCAGCCAACGGAGCTGATGAAGTGAAAAGCGACGAGAAAAAAGTAGTTGTTGAAAGCCGTGTGCAGTCACTGCAGTGTGCTCAAGATCCGAGTTCCGCTGTGTTGCACAAGGGGGACAGGGAACATGTTCGTGATCCAGCTGAGACCAGTGCAAGTCGGAGTGCAGACAAGAGCACGGAGCTGACCACAGGAGTGACAGGTTCAAGTGTCCGTGACAGCAGGCATGCACCCAACACTGTGCAAGCTGCATTCAAGTCTAGGTCCAAGCCTGCCAGCTCACACAAACCTGTACGGGAGGCTGCCGCTGCACGTGGTGCATACTTTGAGACTCCTACTGCTAGGGCTGCTGATCCCAGACTGCAGGCGCCTTCTGCCAACCAGTGTGCCAGTGCTAGGAGAGTGCAAGACTGGGTTGACAGAGTGCAGGTACCAGTACCAGCAGGAATAAATCAACATCAGGTCAAGCCTCTGGAGTTGCCCAGATTTGATGGCATGCAGAGGAGCTACGTAAGATGGCGCCAGAGATTTATGAGACTGGTGGATGATGACTACTCCGTGTCCGAGGATTATAAGATGGCTCGCTTACGAGAGGCGCTAGATGGTGGCAAGGCCGAGGAACTGATATGCGAGGTGCTGGATGGGCCTGGTGCATATAGAGCGGCCTTGGAGGAGTTGGAAGCTTGGTACGGAAGCAGTGAGCGCGAGCTAGAACGTCAGCAGACGGAACTCATGAGTCTGCCCAGAATTGTCATGGAGAAAGACACTGAGTCGCTGCAAAAGCTCGCTGTCAAGCTCCGCAATGTCATTTTGAACATGTCAACTGCTGGAATGCAGCCAGGCAGGGAGCTGTATATAGCGGTCACACAGAAGTTGCCACGTGGCATGCTGTCACGCTACATGGATTGCCATGACGACAACAGGAGCAATGCCCAGGAGTTGTCACAATGGCTGATGAGACGGGTGAATCAGTCGAGGCACGTTGATGCACGCCTCTCAACTGGCGGTGATCAGCAGCCAGCTCAAAGAGAGCAGCGCAAGCACAGGGTCTTGGTGTCGAACGCCAGTCAGGCAGCCGAGCCGACGGAGCCTGAACCATCAAGAGCTGCCTATGCTCAGCCCAGAACCGCAGCTTCTGACAGGAGGACGTGCCCGAAGTGTCGAGGCAGACATGCTCTTGCAGATTGCTCCAACTTCCTGACCCTTGGCGTCCAGAAGAGATGGGACCTGGCGAAGCTGGTGGGGCTATGTTTGCGATGCCTGCAGCCTGGTCATTTTTGCGAAGGAGTGCAAGAGCGCCGGATGCAAGAAGTGCCCAGGTGGCCATCACAGTCTGCTGCACTACGACAAGCAGAAGAAGGCCAGCCAACCTGATGAGAAGACGCAGAAAGACTCCTGCAGCAGTGCCTGTACAAACAGTGCCGACCACACCATAGCCTTCATGACCATTCAGACGACAGTCCACGGAAACAGTACGGCAGCACAAGCCACAGCACTGTTGGACTCGGGTTCGTCAGCCAGCTATGTCACTGGGGGTCTTGTTCGAAGTCTCGGCATCACGACAGAGAAGTGTCGCATGGAGACGACGGTGCTCGGAGGCAGCTCTATCGTCGGGGAAACGGAAAAGGCCAGCCTTGTTATCGCCAGCCTGGACGGTTCCTACGAAGGCAAGCTGGAGGCATGGGTGCTACCCACAATCACTGCAGCCGTGCCACCCGTCGAGTGGGAGCAGCAGAAGGCGAGCTGGAGCCACCTGCAGAGCTTGCCACCGATGGTGGATCCCAGCACTGCCGTCGACTTGTTGATCGGATTAGACGCGGCAGAGATGCATGCGTCTCTTGAGGAGCGTGCGTGCCCCACGGAGGGAGGCCCGACAGCCCGGAAGACGCGCCTCGGTTGGGTACTGTTTGGCCCAAATGCTGTCAACAAGTCTAGCAATGGCAGCACTACTCTACTCGGCGTCTCTCAAAGCTCCGGAGCTGAGGAGGAGCTGGATGAGCTAGTGAAGAAGTTCTGGAGTCTGGAGGCTGTGGGAATGCAGCCACATCCGCCTACACCCGCAATGACTCCAGACGAGAAGGCAGCGGACGACCTCACAGCGGCAACATTGAGCCATGACGGTGAGCGTTTCCAGATCGGCATACCGTGGCACGGCGGTGGACCTGGACCAGAGGTTCGGAGCAATTTCGAACTGGCAAATGGCCGGCTGACCAGCCTCATGCGGATGCTGGAGAGGAAGCCAGACGTCAAGCTACGGTATGCGGCAGTCTTGGAGGATTATCTTAGCAAAGGCTACATCAGACTTCTGGAAGACGTGCCGTCTGTCAGCGCCAACCAGAACTACCTTCCGCACTTCGCCGTTGTTAGAGAAGACAAGGCAACTACCAAAGTGAGAATCGTCTTCGACGGAGCGGCTAGAAACGGGACCCATCCCAGCATCAACGAGCTGATGTACGCTGGGCCGAAGTTGCAGAATAACATGGTCCATGTTCTGCTCCAGTTCTGCAAGGATGCCGTGGCTCTTGCGGCAGACATCTCGGAGATGTTCTTGCAGGTCAGGCTGAGACCTGAAGACAGGTGCTATCATCGATTTCTGTGGGAGAAGGACGGCAACCTCGTAGCGTTCGAGTTCCTGAGGCTCGTATTCGGCATCAAAGCCTCGCCATACCTGGCAGGACGCGCACTGCTTGAAACAGCGAATAGGTTTGCTGACACAACGTCCAAGGAAGCCGTGAGAAGTGTGGCAGACAACTTCTATGTCGACGACCTCTTGAAGTCCTGCAAGTCTGACGAAAAGGCGATTCAGTTGCGAGCTGATATGCAGGCGCTTCTGCTTCAAGGAGGATTCCACATTCGGAAGTGGAACAGCAGCTCGTCAGTCGTCATCCAAACTGTTCCTGAAGCCGACCGAGCTGCAAACACCGAACTTGCCATCACCGATCGTGAGGCAGGAGCGGAGCCAACCCAGAAGACTCTCGGCGTGTCATGGTCGTGCCAGACGGATTGCTTCACCTTCCACTATGCTGAACCCAAGGAGTTTGAGTTCACGCGTCGCGGTGTGTTGTCGCAGATGTGCCGGCTCTTCGATCCTCGTGGGCAGCTGGCTCCTTTTACGGTACGGGCTCGTGTACTGTTCCAAGAGGCCTGCATCCGGGACACAGGCTGGGATGAGCACATGGAAGATGAGTTGACAGCAAAGTGGCAGCGCTGGTTTGCCGAGCTCCCGGAGTTGGCCAAGATCACCATTCCACGCTGCTTCAAGGATCCGTCATCAGATGAGCCGTTGTCACTGCACATATTCACGGATGCGTCCGACTCGGCGTATGTGGCGGTGGTCTACACGCGCCAAGAGCTGTCAAATGGATTGGCAAGAGTGTCCCTGGCCATGGCAAAAGCTCGTCCGTCACCCATTAGGAAGAAGACGATTCCCATGTTAGAACTTCGGGGTGCTGTGCTTGGAGCTCGACTAGCTGGTGAGGTAGCTACGGCACTTGACGTTCCTGTGGAACGGCGGCATTATTGGACAGACTCTATGAACGTCCTTTATTGGATCAGATCATCAAGCAGGAAGTTCAAGATAGAGGTCGCGAACCGAGTTGCGCAGATCCAGGAGGAGTCGTCACCAAGCCAATGGCAGCATGTACCGGGCAAACTGAACCCTGCCGACCTTCCGTCTCGTGGAGCGTCCGCCAAGCAGCTGTCTGAAGAACAGGGGTGGTGGACAGGACCGGCATTCTTGAGGACGTCTGAAGTAGACTGGCCGAAGAGACAGATCATTGTTCCTGGCGAGCTACCAGGACAGCTGAAGCGCGCGACTTGTCTCACTGCTAACACCACAGCATCGCCGAGGCTCCATCCTGACAACTACTCCAACTGGACGCGTCTGAAGAGAGTCTCAGCCTGGGGTAGACGGTTTGTGCGTTGTGCTAGTAGAGGCAAGCACTGTGCGCAGGAGTCCTCAACATCGGCACAATCAGCAGCATGCGACGGTACGTTGGTCTCCCTCCATTATCGGCGAACCAAGGATTCACCGAAGGTGTCCGTTCAGCCGCTCACCGTGTCAGAGCTTCAGGAAGCGGAGCATTGTTGGATTCGCTATGCGCAGAGGGAAGCCTTCTCCGAGTCCTACGATGCCTTGCGTCATGGCAGAGAGATCAGCACTGGTGCCCTCGTGAAGCTGAAGCCGTACCTCGATGCACAGAGCGATATGATGAAGGTTGGTGGACGTCTGAGTACAGCCCATCACCTTCCAACGAGCGTTCAGAGTCCAGTCATTCTACCGTCAAAGCACCGCGTCACGCAGCTGATCGTCAGTGACGAAGATGACCGATGCGGCCATGTTGTGGGCCTCAATCACATTCTGTCTAACTTGTCTGTCAAGTATTGGATTGTCAAGGGCCAGTCAGCCGTGAAGCGTCATCGGAATGATTGTGTGCGGTGTAAGCGCACATGGGCCAAGGCTGCGCATCCAATCATGGGCCAGCTACCAGACTTCCGCACAAGCGGACCTCTTCAACCATTTGCAAAGGTTGGAGTGGATTACTGCGGCCCGTTCTACACAAAGCAAGGCCGTGGACGACCGCAGGTGAAACGCTGGGTTTGTGTGTTTACCTGCCTGCAAGTTAGAGCCTGTCATCTCGAGATGGCAACGTCATTGGACACCGATGGCTTCCTGATGGCATTCGACCGATTTGTGAAGCGCCGAGGTGTACCAATGGAAGTGGTTTCGGACAACGGGACGAATTTCGTGGCTGCGGAGAGGCTAATGAGGGAGGCGGTTGTTGCCCTGGACAACAGCAAGATTGAATCGAATCTGGCTGATCGCGGAGCGACTTGGCGCTTCAACCCGCCAGCATCTCCGCATTTCGGTGGTGTGTTCGAAGCGATTGTCAAGTCGGTGAAGAGAGCCCTGCAGAACGTGTTGCAACGTGCCGACATTACCGATGAGGAACTCATGACAGCGCTAGTTCACGCCGAAGCATTCCTCAACTCCCGACCCTTGTCCACGGTGTCATCAGATCCCACCGACTTACGGCCATTGACTCCTTTGAGCTTCCTTATCGGCCACATGGATGTGAGGACAGCTATGGAAGAGAATGCCGATCGTCAGGAGGTGGTCAACCCGCGGCGTCGCTGGCTTTACGTTCAACGGCTGGTATTGGAAGTGTGGCGAAGATGGTTGAAGGAGCTCGTGCCGCGGCTGAATGTACGCGCGAAGTGGCGTGGCGACAAGCGCACGGTGGAAGTTGGCGACGTGCTGCTCGTTGTGAAGAAAGATACGCCTAGAGGAAAGTGGCCTCTTGGCCGCGTGAGTGAAGTCTTCCCGGGTCCGGACGGCGTAGTGCGAGTCGTGGATGTCGTGATCCAGGGGAAGACTTACCGACGCGCGGTGCACAACCTCATACCACTGGAAGTTACAGATGATGAGCAAGCAGTTACACCGGCCAGTGTACCCGCCACCAGCTCTAAAGGTGTCGATGAAGTGTCTGCCGTAGTATGACATCACACTGAAAAGAGCGTGATAATGAGCATGACGAACTCTGATGTGAGTTTCCTTATGGCACTAGTGTTTAGGAATGCAGATTAGTTTGTTGTCTTTCATATGATAATTAGCTACTAGTCTCTAGCGTATATCTGTGTGAATTCTCTCTCAGTTGACTTCGTTCGAGAGGGAGGAAATGTTCGATTTAGTGTGTTCGAATTTGTGCATCATGTTTCTGCCTTGTATTAGTGCAGTAGTGCATTTGTAGTTTACTTATTTGTTGCTATTTTGTGCACTGTCTCAGTGGCTGGTTCTTTGTATCATAAGCATGAGTGCGCGTCTGCCGCTAGGCTAGTTGTCTGTTTCATGAATGCACTTGCGGTCGTTGTTGGCTGATCACTACACCATTGTCTCACATGTATCATCGTTCTAGCTGCGTGCTCCCGTACCTGTGCGTACGGTGTTCTTTTGGTTCTATATTCGTGATTTGCATTTTTTTGTTTGGTTCAGATGTGTTTACGATGTTTTCAGATGAGTTTGGAAACGGTTGTGTTGAACTCTAAGCTGGTGTTTTTGAGCTAGTGCTTGTTGTCCGAAGATGGAATATTGAATACAGTCTGATTGGAGAAGTCATTGATTTGTTCAGTAACATGCCCGTCGCCAGTACCTGCTTAGTGTGATTCATCCCGACTTTGAGTATTGTTTCCCTGTTTACGCATCTCAATGATCAGCACAGTCCAGGGAGAGATTGTTTACCTTGTTCCGTAGAGCTGTCCGAGTTACCTGCGGTGCTTCATATCATGCTGCTGTACCACCCCTTCTTGCTTCTCTTCAAATAAAACACCTTGAATATCGATACATTTATCAATTTCTTACGTTTATGTTTATTTGTCATATTGTTCAGCGTGCATCATGCTTACGCAGTCTTTTCCCTTTGCCCACCTCTAAGCGGTCAACTCGTGGAACTACAACAAACAATATGTCAATTTGCTTGTATAAATCCATGGTAGGGTACAATTCCTTTTCCTCCAGAGCATCCCTTATGTGGAGTGCCCTCCCTGCTCACTTGAAAGGAAGTGAGGACATTAGATCATTTTCTACAGAACTTTTGCACGCTCTAAATGACGACAAATTGACTATATCCCTATATCCCCTCCTTTTTGAAAATGTATTTCACCAATAATATAAGGTTTGGAATTTTTTAAACATGAATATCGACGGACTTGCCCCTTCTGTTCATGCATTGACCTGCTCTAGTAATGGTTCATGAATCGGCCCAGTGCACATTCCTTCTCCGTTTCTCTCTAGTAATGGTTCATGAATCCGCCCAGTCCACATTCCTTCTCCGTTTCTCTCAGTTTTCCTTTCCTTTCAGTTGCATCTTCCTCTCTGCTCTGTTTTATTTTCTCTTTTTGTTCGTCCCTCTTGATATTTGTACTTTGTACTGTTGAGGCAACGAACTGAAATAATAAAAAACAAACAAACAAAACAAACAAACAAGAGGTCGGAGGCGGATAATAATAATAATAATATAAATAATAATTCAATGGATCAGTTGGGGAAGTGAACTGCCTGAAAAGAGAAAAACCACCAGACCCACCAGGACTCGAACCCAGGACCTTGCTTGTCATGAGCAATGCTCTAACCACTGAGCTATGGGACCGGGCTGAACCTAGAAGGCGCTGACAAGATTTTCACTCCAAAGGCAGTTCACAACACGTGCCACATATACTGATGGCACCTGGGTCTTTCTCCCTCCCCCTTTTCAGGCAGTTCACTTCCCCAACTGATCCATTGAATTTGAAGTTCTCCCAATCCGTTCAAAATAATAATAATAATAATTTGGAAAGGATTGGGAGAACTACAAATTCAAAGTATCAGTCGGGGAAGTGAACTGCCTGAAAAGAGAAAAAAACGCCAGACCCACCAGGACTCGAACCTGGGACCCTGCTTGTCATGAGCAATGCTCTAACCACTGAGCTATGGGACCAGGCTGAACCTAGAAGGCGCTGACAAGTTTTTCACTCCAAAGGCAGCTCACAACACGCAGCAGGGTCCCAGGTTCGAGTCCTGGTGGGTCTGGCGTTTTTTTCTCTTTTCAGGCAGTTCACTTCCCCGACTGATACTTTGAATTTGTAGTTCTCCCAATCCTTTCCAAATTAAATCACTTTCTTTCACCTCTGGTAGTTTCCAGAAACTGACCGTGGTTGGTCCCCTGGGGGAGGGAAAAAGACCCAAGTGCCATCAGTATGTGTGGCACGTGTTGTGAGCTGCCTTTGGAGTGAAAAACTTGTCAGCGCCTTCTAGGTTCAGCCTGGTCCCATAGCTCAGTGGTTAGAGCATTGCTCATGACAAGCAGGGTCCCAGGTTCGAGTCCTGGTGGGTCTGGCGTTTTTTTTCTCTTTTCAGGCAGTTCACTTCCCCGACTGATACTTTGAATAATAATAATAATATTAACTGGTTTTGAGGGAAAGAGACAAACATATATATAATCTTCACTATTTCGCTCCTGCTCTTGTAGCAGTTGAGCACTCTTGCGTGGGGTAGTGCCTTTGCTGTTTGCGTTATGCAGAGCTCACTGACTTGTCAGTTTGAGCACTCTGGCAAGGTACGTTCGGGCCTGATTGGAAATTTTTATTTCCATTGCCATCAGGTTCGGCCTCATTTTCTCTGTGCTGCGCTGATGAGTTCAAAAAGAACGAAACAGCATGCTGTCCGCAGATTGAGTAATAATCTTCACTATACTCAATCTGCGGACAGCATGCTGTTTCGTTCTTTTTGAACTCATCAGCGCAGCACAGAGGAAATGAGGCCGAACCTGATAGCAATGGAAATAAAAATTTCCAATCAGGTTCGAACGTACCTTGCATCTTCACTATATATAATAATAATAAAGAGAAATGGAGTGAGAAGAAACAACACCTATGAAAATGATAATCCTAGCACTAAGGTAATAACAGGAAAAACTGCGAAAGCACTTAACGAACTTGTAAGGACTACTAGTATACTGTGACACAAGATATGACACCCTGGCCAACCAGAGCCAAACAGACAGAACAAGTTGCTACTAAAACAATTTCAAACGAATAATGCTGTCCTTCTGGACACACAGATTAGGCTTATGAATACGTTGACAAACGGCTTCTAACACACTCAACTGCAACTTATAACCATGACGAGCACGGCACAAAACAGAAAAAGAAGAATCAAAATATACCTTACAGCAATCAAGACGAGATGCAAGATGCTTATACACTGATGACTTCCTACTAGAAAACACACGCTCGCACCCACTCTTACTCACACGATCATTCTCGCTCTCACACTCACCGGAATCACTGGACTCACTGGCCGAATCCTCCTCAACGACTTCCTGCCTCGGAGCAATCAGGTCCCGTCTCCTCCCATCCCTCGTCTCACGTTCCTGTTGTGTATTCCGTTGGCTCGGTACTTCCGTACTGAAATAGGTCATGGTGTAATTAGCAGTTGTTCTTCTGGGTCTCGTTGATATTGAGGTAGGTATTGTTGTCGTCTCTGCCGGTGATGCAGCAAGCGATGCTGATGCAAACGTGTCTGCATGCAACACACGTGGCGTCGCCAAAGCCACATCCACCTCCGCTGGTGGAGGGAGTGACTTGGTCATGGCCACGGGAGCCAATGGTGGACTTGTCGAGTGAGACGCTAGGTCCTGTGTTGGCGGAGGTAGTGGTTGTTTACGGGGTCTTCCCCGCGTGGGACGCTCCAGTTGTGCGCTACGTGGGATAATGTGTAAAGGAGTGTGTTGCTTGATGCGTTCGCTCAGGTGCTGAACAGTCCTACCAACATACCGGCTAGCACAATTCCGGCATTCAAAGTTGTAGATTACATGACTTAAATGATGGGTTGGTAGGACGTCCTTCAACACCGTGAACGAACGCATCGTTGTGTAGACGGGTATGAAGTGTACCGCATAGTAGGTTTGTTTGATGATCGCACGAACTTCACGACTCACATTGTCAGACTTCTTGCCCTTCCATGGTAAGCACAAAAAGACAGGACAACGAGCAGGCCCTATCAATTCATGTTTCGGCGTGGGGGCTGTAGACAATAGTTTTGCCAAAATGTCGCCTGGGTATCCGTTTTGGGTGAAAACTGAACGGAGAAATTCGAGCTCACCACTGAGTTTACAAGGTGAACAGATCCGTTTGGCGCGATCCACGAGATTCTTTACTAAGTTGACTTTATAATTAGATGAACAGTACGAGTCATAGGAAATGTATTGTCCGGTGAATGTCGGTTTACGATACACCGATGTTACGCTACCAAATTCGGTTTTCTCAACAAGTACGTCGAGGAAGGATAACTTGCTTGACTGCTCGTGCTCACATGTGAAGCGGAGGGAAGGGTGAAGGGTGTTGAGAGCACCAAGAAAGACCTCGCTGTCTCCTATGGAATCAAAGTATGTGAACGAGTCATCAACGAAACGGAAATACAGACTCGGCCATAGAGACGCATCAATCTTACACTCACAGTAACCGACAAAGACATTAGCTAACACGGGACCCAATGGAGAGCCCATGGCTACTCCATCTATCTGCTTATACATCACGTCATTGAACGAAAACTCGACGCCAGTTGTGACTAACAACATCAAACGTCGAAAAGCACATTCAGGTAGCCACGGAGTGTCAACTTCGTCAACACGGTACAACACGGTCCGCGCAAATATCAATTATCTCCTCCAGCGGTACGTTTGTGAACAAACTCACTGTGGTATCATCAAGTCTATGTGATGATTAGTTATTGAAATAGAATAATGCAACGAAGGACTGAGAGAGGACGACTCGTCAGGAAACTACCAAGGAAAGACTGAACAGCAACAAGAGACATGCACTGTCGATTATGGGCACGGAGTACACACATGCATGCATAGTATGAGTAGTATGCTGTAAGGTTGTACGCACGTCCATGCAAGGAGATGCAGTAGCATAATAAGAAACATGAGAGTGCAAATATGTACGATGTACACGGGTACACCA